GAATTCTTCCTCTCACCACATCATTAAACACTTCCCGCCTGGTTGCAGCATACATGGCTTCAGTAGATACGTTGATGTCACATCTGTGACCATATTCTAGCCCATCAAATCTTGCCATATTTGATGCCACTTCCGATGTACACAATACATGGTAGCAGATAATTGAGTAACTGGTGTGAGGCAGGGACACTTCGATTACTTTGGCCCCCTCAGACTCAAAGAGATTAGCAGCTTTGGACCAAAAAGATCGCACTTCACTTGATAATTCTGGTGCAAGATATTCCTTTGGAATTCCTATACATAGTTTGTTCACATCTGCCAAAGTGGGAAGTGTAAATGGTTTAACAGGATCTTGTATTGTGGTAGAATCTCTGGGGTCATGCCCAGCCAGCATACCTGTAAAGAAAAATACTTAGGAATGACAGACATATTGTTTTACAGTGAAACTTACAATGTTTTGAAACTCTATGGAATCATATAAATACCTAACACAATTGCTGCATCATTCGCACATCTGGTTAAGATTCCTGGCACATCCATTGAATTCACCAGGGGAATGAGGCCATGATGAGAAACTAAGCCATAGCTTGGTTTGAAACCAACAACCCCACAGTGGGCAGCTGGATTTCTGGTCGATCCTCCTGTATCTGATCCTAAAGCCACAAAGCATGTGAACGCGGCTACCGCCGCCGCACTCCCTCCTGAGCTTCCTCCAGTTATAAGCCAATTTGAATCCTCATTCTCACCATGGGCCTTCTGCTTCCTCTTTCCTCTATATTGTTTTGAGTAACTCCAGGGGTTTTTAACTGGTCCAAATACACCATCTGTGCTTCCAGATCCCATTGCAAACTCATCTAAATTTGTTTTTCCCATCAGGACAGCTCCCTTATCCAACAATTTCTGAACAACTGTAGCATTGTAAGGTGGTACATAACCTTTCAGCATGTTTGATGCACATGTTGTCTCAATGCCGGACGTGCTAAAGCTGTCTTTTACTGCAACGGGAATTCCATCTAAATCCCCAAGTGAGTGACCTTTCTTGTATCTTTTCTCCGATTCTTCAGCTTGCTTTAAGGCCACCTCTTCTGGTACAGTAATGTAAGCATTTAGAAATTTGGTCTTCTTGATAAGGGAGAGACATTTTTGACAGAGCTCTGTTGGAGTAATGTGGCCTTGTTTCAGTGCTGTAGAAAC